TTGGAAGAGGTCAGACACTGCCCCCACACCATGTTTACACACATGAATTCCCATCACATGATGATGAAAAAATAGACACCCACTAAAAGAAAGTATTAAAAAAAATTAGGGGGAAATTGCAGTCCTCAGTTCTGGAGAATGGGAGGAAGAAGCAAGTTTGCGATTCTTGGACCTGATCTATTTTGTCTCACACCATCATTCTAGTCTCCTTCCCACCATACTGGCTTGACATCCTGACTCCCTCAAGAGAGATGGGGACTGTTTGTTATCAAGGTTTACCAGTATCCTGGACACAAAGGGATTATCTTTTGTCGTCAACCTGCAACTGCCATAGAGACGTCAGCAGTAGGGTCCTTTCCGGCTTGCTATGGAGGCAGCCAGAAGACTATTTCTGGCATTATAAACACGTGGAAACAACCCTGAACCTTCTAGAAAGAATCACAAAGAGTTCCACAACATCCAGAAAGATAACTTTGTGTAAGGTTAACCAAACTATTCTAATCAGGAGATTTTTGCTGTCTTTCCCTCTGCCTGATTGAATTTAGAGGACGAAACTAACACTCTGAAGAAGATCCTCTAAACGTCGAGTCTAGCCACAGCAGAAACACAACGTTAGAGCACATTCAGAAGCTTTTAGTCTTGTAAGATGGAAGACAGAAGGTAAATGTTTAAATGTGACTCACTAGAGCCGAGATCCTGTCACACTGACTGCATCCAATGGCTCCTTAACCACAATTTTGGGTCCCAAACATTCACATTGTCACCTAGCAGCAAACGGAATCCACAATACTAGAAATAATTCGGGTACATCAAGACGTTCACAGATGCATTCAGGTAGCTACTGAAGCATATAAACTACAAACAAAATACACCTCTGCCTAGTACAACATTTAAAATATAAGCTGTTGATGTTCCTCTGAACTAAAAACTACTACTGCATTATCAATCTTATGGATTAGTGACCTCACACTGCACCCCAGGTCGCTTGTAACAGAAGAAAGCAACAACCATGTCAATGAGACACAGTGTGAGGAGGAAATCTCTCCCAAGGCAGATGTGAGCTCCAGACAACTGGACTTCTGAACTTAAGATTCTTTTTCTCCACTCTTCCTAAGAAGCTGCTGCATGGAAAGGATCCTGGATCCTCTGGATTATTTCTATTCATCAGACTAAAGAGTCTGCCCCTTGTAGCTAGAAATAAACTAGTCCTTCATGCCTTGCAATTCCAAGCTGGAGAAGCCAGCTTTGTCGTCCAGCAGCCATTCGCATGATTCTAAGGAGATTTAGCCCAGACAGGAGAACACAGAGAAAGCTTGTAGATCGCAGGAAATGTATGAAATCAAGTCAACATATTAGAGGATATACATGCGTCCCCCAAAATGTAGGCACAGTGGAATGTCTTAAACAATGCAAAAAAATACTAACACCATAACCTCATTAACTAACCTACTTACTATATATTTCTTGTTGCTAACTCGCTTGGGTGCCTCTGGATTCCGGGTCTCTTACAGATGATTCTAAAATTCCTGTGAAGGTGGAAGTAGACTGATGGTGAGAACCGGCCTGACTGCTCCCTTTAGATCTTCACTCTAAAGAACGGTAAGGAATGCATTTGCTCCCAGGATGAACAAACACAACATGGTGAGTACTATTGCTATTTCCGAAGTAGATATATTCCAGGTCCTAGGCAACTTACACTACTTTTGCAAATTACTATTAGTTCCTCCTTATTCTCTAGGGATGTAGCCTATAAAGGAGAGGAGGTTGTAGCATTGTTTCCTCCAAGAATGATGCCTGAAGCAACTGCATCAGAATCACTGGGGCACTTTTTAAAAATGCAGATTCCTGAGCCCCACTTCAAGTCTGAATCACAGGTTTGCAGGGGTTGGGGGCAGAAATTTATTTTAATTCATTACTCTTAAATGATTCTTAGCACTCTGAAGTCTGAAGAACCACTGGCTTAAATTACTGCAGGGCTGAAAAGTTTTGCACTACTGACTTGTTGAAAAACCTTGTTAACTGATTTTTATGGTGACTGTCCATCACACTCAATCGCAGGAAAGTGGGCCACTTAACACCATCTACTCATTCTTTGCAAGCTTCTTTAACCGCTTGCACACACCCACCACCCTGGACACAAAGTCTGAACATAAACCAGATGTACATCCTCTCCTCACTTATCGACATGGTTAGGTTCCAAAGACCAGGCTGTTGTGCAAAATCAGCGTTATGCAAAAACCAAAGATGACAGAATCAGACCACAAAATAGAGGATGACTACACTGTTACATAACTACCAAATTACATCATTACATACTGTATTTTTACGCAAATAACACATGCTTTCTGCATTTGTTTGCCAGCCATGCCCTCCCCCGACAAGGTATTTTCATAGGTGCTGCTATGCCAGTTTTATTTTTAATACGTTGCTGTGAAGAAAAATTAGCATAGGGCACTTGCAAAGATGCCTGGCGGGGGTGAGGGGCTGTGGCCAGCAAACAAATGCAGAAGGTGCATATTATTTGCATAAAAATACAGTAACTGCCAAATTACATCATTACATAACTGCCAAACCACTGATAAACATGGCCCAGCCAAGCTGATACATAACCTTAACCATCCCAGACAGCTTTACTCTCGCCTCACACCTCGGCATTCATTACTACCAGATGTATGTCGTTAGTGCGCAAAATAGTCGGATAGTAAACTTTTTACTATTGCCGTAAACGCAAGATATTGGATAACGAGACAGTCAATAAGTGAGGAGATGGTGTAGTTGGTCCTGCACCAGCTTGTAAAGTCTTGAGGGAACACTCCAGTTAGGGGATGAGAGGAATATGTGATTCACTGCAAGAGACAAAGATGGATCAGCTGGTAAGGTAAGAAGTCTGGACGCTGCAATGTGAGAAAACATAGTTGAATCCAATATGCATCAGTTGAGTTCCTGTCAAAGGAAGAGAGAGTTCTGAGGAGAGAGTGGTAAGAACGTTATCACAAAAGTCAAGTAGAATGAGGATTGAGGGTGTTGGCATGAAAGAGGTCCTTAATCTTTTTTGTGTGTGTGATTTAGATGAAAGTTTACAGAGCAAATTCGTTTCTCATTAAACAGTTAATACACAAACTGTTTTATGACATTGGTTGCCAACCCCGTGATATGTCAACACCCTCCCCTTCTTCACCCCAGATTCCCTGCTTCCATTCGTACGGTTTTCCTGTCCCTTCCTCCCTTCTCATCTTGGCTTTTGGGCTGGTGTGTGCATTAGTCTCATATACATCACTGAATTCTGGAGCACATCCCTCGTGTTGTGTTATTGTTGGCTCTACAGACCTTCCTAATCTTTGGCTGAAGGGTGAACCTCAGGAGTGACTTCATTACTTAGTTAAAAAAGTGTCCAGGGGCCATACTTTCAGGGTTTCTCCGGTCTCTGTTAGACTCTCTGCAAGACTGTTTTTGTGTGTGTGTGGGTGAGTTTGAATTTTGTTCTACATTCTTCTCCTGCTCTGTCCGGGACCTTCTGTCGTGATCCCTGCCAGAGCAGTCAGTTGAAGGAGGTCCTTAATTTTAAGAATGTAGTTCTGATAAACAGATCCAGTAAATCAACGGAAATGAAAGCTAAATTCAAAGAAGAAATAAGGGCAAGGAAATGAAGATCACATACACAGACTACTCGTTGATGGGAAAAGGAAAGAGAATAATAAAATGTTTGTTTGTAGATGGGAGTCTTTTCGGGAACTCCCCAGCAGACCTTAGTTCTCCCCTGCTGGAGCTGGGTGAGGTGAAAAGATTTCCCAATCCACAGCCTACCCACTGCACTGACCAAATGGATGCTTAGAGTCGGACTTAAGGTCTCACTGACTCACTGGAGACCACTCAGACAAGCAACTGGGCTAAGAAGCTGTCTGTGCTCCCAGCTGTCTACTGTGTGTTCCTGAAAGAGTGCACAGATCAGGAAAGCTCACTGTTACAACCTTTTGCGCTAAGACTTAGAGACCTGAAAAGCATGAAGACAGGAAGTGGATAAAAAGAGTCGATTTTGGAACAAAGGCCTTGCCCGCACTCATACCCTAGGATACTGGGAGAGGGAAAGAAAGGAATTCCAGTAGTCATGGTTGGGAGATTTCCCTTCTATTGTCCAAAGAAAGAAAGACACGGCTAGGACAAGAAGATACACATGGTCAATCAGGAAGAAAAGTCCCTTTGTGCCTGATACATTGGATGCATTGTCCTGGCGCCATTTGCCCTGATGTTAAGTACAGCTTGGGAACAAGGCCAGCATGGGCGTCCACTTGACTCATCAGCTGCACCAGTACTGGTCTCTGAGAGCTTGTCAGGCCAATATGAAATGCGCTCCAAAGTTTCTCCAAGAAGGGAGAAAATAAATATTAGTAAAATGGCCACAAAATAATAGATTTTTACTTTTGAAGGAAAAAAAAATCCTTCTATTCAAACTGTGACACAGTTTTATGGAATAGTTTTGGTTGGAGATATACTATACAATACAGCCTTTGGCCTTTTACCTCCCCTCACAACATGCATCTTCACACTTTTCAGTATCCGTGTAATCACTCTGTTGGTTGGTAGACAGACAGACAGAATGTATATATATGTATACATGTATATATATATATATATATGTATATATATATATATAAAAGCTTTGTTTAGATATAATTCACATACCATACAATTTGTCCATTTAAGTGTACAATTCAGTGGTTTTCAGTATACTCAGAGTTGTACAACCATCGCCACAATCAATTTTAGAACATTTTCATTACCTCAAAAAGAAACATCATACTTATTAGCAGTCACTTCCCATTTCCCAACATCCCTCAACCCCCATCCCTAGGCATCCATTAACCTAATTTCTGTCTCTATGGATTTGCTTATACTGGACATTTCATATAAATGGAACCATACAGTATGTGGTCTTTTTTGACTAACCGTTTTCACTTAGCATGTTTTCAAGGTTCATCCATGTTGTAACATGTATCTACGCTTTCTTTTTATTGCTGAATAATAGTTACTTGTATGGATGTACCACACTGTATTTATCCATTTCTCAGTTGATGGGCATTTGGGTAGTTTCTACTATTTTTTTCGGCTATTATGAATAATGCTGCTAAAACTTTCATATTAGTACCATACACAGTAGTAAAGAACTTATCATTCAAACCACTTCAAAGTCTTAAAAAGCAAAATTTTAAGAAAAAAAAATGGTTAATTGAAAGAAACTGTTAGATATAAATGGCTGCAAAATAAAAACTGATGCAGAATTGCTAACATGTGTTCTTTATTCCTGAGTTGAGAATTTAAAGTTTGGGGTTTGTCTTCCCACTATGTATTTATTGCTTGTCATTTTTCCATTCCTGGATATACTGCTTTTAGCTCCAGCACTTCTCAATTAAGCCTTTCAAAAAATGGAACTACCTTTTACATTCATTATCTTTAACAAGAAAACACATCATTATTACTGCCTATTAAAACTAAGTGGATGGTGAATATTTACCACACCATTTCTTCCTATTAAGCCTACCATTATGTTTACACAGCTATGGCTAAATTCTGTTCCCCAGAAAAATAAAGTTAAATGTTTTCCTAAGAAAGACAATAAACTTACAAAAATGTGTTTTCAACTGGGAGTAACACAAATATGTACTACAGTTTATTCTTCCACCTATTTTTTCGAAGTATCACAAAGCCTATTAGGAGCACAGAAGAAAACAGTCTTTGCCAGCAGAAATTAAAATATACTGAACACTTGATTATGAAGCAAAAACATGAGTCAATAGGTGGACAACACCAACGAGAGGTTACACTGGAAGGTCAGTGGTAGAAAGGTAGGCAGAAAAACAAAGTTACATCATGACATGGCACAAGCTTACTTTACACACATTCACTGCAAAAATCTTTCAATTTCTACATATACCCAAGTGGAGGGCAGTGACCCAATTTACACATATACCTCAGAACCTGCACTGAAGCTCCCAAGAGGTTACTGCCACAGAAACCTGTCAAGAGCCCCATTTGCTATCTGTCAACGAATGTCAATAGATGGGCTTTATTGTTAGAATATAAACCAGAGACTCACTTTTATTATCTGTGTTGTATCTATAAAAGCTTCATGAGTCAGATGGAGCTTCCCATCCTCACAAGGATGGAGCCCAAAGCCCTAAAAGACCAAAAACGGCTCTCTAAGGCCTGGCCCCTGCTCTCCTTTCTGCTCCTCCCTGGGATCCACTCTAGGTGCCGTGACACAGACCTGCTGCTGTTTCCTCGCACACGCTGCACTCTGCTCCCAGTCCCTTGTTCCTGCTGCTTCCTCTAGAATGCTTCCTACACAGTCCCTTCATTACTGACCTTTAAAATCAGTGCTTCAGTGGTTACCTCCTCTAACAGGACTTCGCAGATGGGGCTCCAATCTCTCAGTGACCCCTCCTCCCACAGGCACCATAACCACGATTACTCAGGCATCTTTCCCTCTGGACTCCCATAATACGTAGTATCTCTGCAGTTACTGTCATTAACTTTATCTATTCTTTTAGGAGTCTTCTTCACCTCTAAACTGTGAGATCTTTGCGGAAAGAGTCTGTCTCTTATTCCAAGAGACTAGTATTGCATCTGACAATACGAAGATGCTTAATAAATGTTTTGCTGATGGGATAAATCAGCGGTTCTCAAACTTCTTGGTCTCAGGTTATGAGTCTTATAA